CCCACAAATGTACTGTCTAGTAAAATCTATTCCTATACCAGTCATATATTTCATATAAGAGAATTCTTTTTAGTATTATTTTTTTTATATTTCAGTATTTTTATATTGTAAAGTCTAAATTTGATATAAAAGGTTAGGAAGAAGAAAGATGAAATTTCGTTTAAAGATGATTATTGTAAATGAAAGCATGTAGAGATTGATTTCGGATAGATTATATTAAGCTACATATCGATATAGTAGTATCAATATGAAGGAAAGGAAAAGAACGGATAGAAATCAAATGCGGAAATTGTCAGTAATGAAAACGGGTCGCATATGGAAGGAGATAAGGGAAAATAAAAATTCGAAACATATTTGGGATTAAGTGTTATCTGCGTTGCGTGCCGAATTACGTATCAAATCGGAATCAAAATAGATGGAAAGCAGAAGGGTAGAATTATGAAATGCAGTCATCCAGAGGGGGAGCGGCGCATCGAGCAGGGTCTTTTGGGCTCGGGCCGGGGATAATGGAATTGGCGGAAGGGAATTGTATTAATTTATTGTCTACCCCCGTGTATGGGTGTACACGACGACGACGACGATGGGTTTTCGAAAATTTAGATTCCATAATGGAGCCGCCACCCGGAATGAATTACATGATGTTTGAGAATATGCTTGGGATTTCGGCATGGAAATGCGTTTTCCCAACGTTTCGAATGCGGAATAGGGGAAAGGTTGAGTTGAAGACGCGACGCGGCTGTGGATGAGGATGAGGATGAGAAGAAAAGCCGTGTTGTAATTTCTGCGATTTAAATACGCCAGACACATTTCATCAGAACGATGCATTTCATTTCCACGTATGACGCGATTTTTTTTTAACCAGACTCAAAGACTTTTTCCACAAAGTCTCGGCATCTCTCTCTTAATTTTAATACTTAATTTGAATTTAAAAGCTGTAGGAAATTGCGTAGCGGCTTAAAAGTACACGCCGGTTAAGTAGATACATAAATGTTAATCTTCATTCCTTGAGACTTTAACTTCATCATTAATGTTACAATTACTTCTCATACTTTCTGTTTATGTTTCGCTGCTTGAATTTATACAGTTTAAAGCATGAATGTATAATGTCTTTAAACAACTTGTTATTAAGACAAAACATAAAAGCATAATTTATATTAAGATATACTTTAAAACAACTTTTTTCTTAACTGTTTCTTAAAAAAAAACATAAAATAATCATGTTTTGCTTAAAAAACGAAGCTATTACGTAACAAATATCATAATTCCTATTAATATTACAAAGGAGTTAAATGGGTCATTTCAATTGAAGACCCAAAGTTAAAATCAGTTATTAAAAAAAAAAACGAGTCATTCTAATTTAACCAAAACTGTTACGTATTTGGATCATGATGCAATGCAAATACAAGTTATTAAACCTAATATGACATTTTTTATTATATATGATATATTGTAATTAAATGATTTTGCATTAAAACAACTGTCTGGTATTAATAGTTAAATTTCAATATTTTTTTCAATACAAGACAAAGTATGTTCTGTTTGTATTTCACATTCAGAACTGATTTTGCTCTCTTTTAAATAAGCTATAATCCTAAAACATAGCCTTCCAGAAGGTAAAAAGCACATTCGATTTTTTATCAAACATAATAATCCTAGCTCGTAGATTAACATTAAAAATCCATTAGCTTTTATATAGTCAGGATTTCAAGTACAGTGCATTACCTATAACCAACAAATGATTAAAATAAGTACTTCGTTTTTTGTTTTATTATTTTATATTTATTTAAGTAACTTCTATTAATTATCTCAAAATATCATTTCAATATTGATTTGCTTGAAATAGTATAACGTGTGCACACGTACATAAAACAATTGGGTTATGAGAGGCGAATAATTAGAGCAATTCCAATACAGTTGCGATCCTTTGCAAGGAAACATTACATATTGACCTATTTTACAATTCAATAGAGACACACACTGACCATTCTAATTTGAATACTGCTGATTTATTGATTTATTTTTGTTTTATTACGCACAAATAGGCCACAACAAAAACTCTTATTCACAGCGAACGACGAGAATTCATTGCGCAACGATAAACAGCAAATAAATATATACATTTTAACAACTGGACTACAAATGGACTACAAATGGAATATTAATAATAACATCGATGGACCGACAATTCATTAAATGCAAAATGTATATTAATTAAAACAGTTAATTATGTAATGCTCGAACATTAAATTTGCAATAAATGAAATTGCTTTTGATTTAATTAAATGCAGATACACAAAATTGTAAATAACTTTCATTTATCTTTGTGTTGAGTTAATTACGTGGATTGTGCTAATGGATTGGGGTTTACAAGCCAATCTCTGTTAGTTGGAAAATATACAAATCTAAAAATTAAATTGCACACACGCCACGTGAGTGACGTATATTTTTTATTTAATATAATTCTACAGGTTAAAAACCAGAAAACAATTTGGTAAATCCATTTTTATGGATGACACACAAATGATTCGGTATAATATTAGTTACTTCTAAGAAAAACACGTATGCTGTGTATTTCTTTAAAATCGTATTCCCCACTTAAGGGTTTACTATAACACCTGCTGCTCTTGACTGAAATCGATGAGTCGACTGTTTTCAAGATGTCCAGGTAAAAATTCTTGTACTTTAGTTTCTTAAAAGAGATGCAAATAAAGTGCAGTTTTGTGTTACTTTTTTATTTAAGAGATAACTAATTTAAGCACAATACAATGAAAAAAGGGGCTGGACGAGTAAAGAACTCAAGTTGACAAATGCGAGGAATCATTGTGTAAATGAGCCTGAATGGGGTGTTGCTGAATTGCGGAAAGCCAAACGTTTAAGGGTTTAAAATAAACTGTACAATAGACTTAAAAAATGTTAGAATGAATTTATTAATTATTGTATTAAAATAAATAGGGTAGATTTTATTATTACATATGGATTTAATATAATTGTGACGGATTGTGATCCAAATTGGGGTGAACTTTTATTGTAAATATGTACACTACTGATCATATATATGCATGTGTGTATAATATTGAATATTCGGTCCATTACACAATGCACACAGAAAAGGGTCAGCCAAAGGGTGGGGCGAAGTCTGTAAGTAGGTCTGTGATGTATTCAATATTAGTTTTCTCATATGTTGCAATGTTTTCGCAGCATTTGTAGTTGATAGAAATTGGAAATAACAATAATGCTTTCATTTAGGGAGGAGAATCAAAGTTCCTTCCATTTAGAAACTCATCAAGGGAATCCATATTCTAACGCGATTAAATCCGAAGCCTTCCATGTTGACTTTGAATCATATTAATTAATAAGCGACATTTACTTAAGTAGGATAATCTTTATAGCATATTTTTAATTAGATTTGCACAAAATTATCTGAGATTATCATACCTCGCACTGTTCGAAATCGGACTAATCGAGAACTTTAAAACCACATAAATATTTTTATTTTGTTCAATCAAAATTTAGTTTGTTTTGAAATTTTTAAACTGCACTGAATCCGGATTGATCGAAGACGCACTATGCGAGGTATTATTGATCACTTATTTATAAATATTTTTTTGAAGAAAAATATGTACCAATGCAATCTTATTGTTGTTGTACTCCACAATCGTTTGGATATTTTCAGGTAGGATTGTAAAGCTTGATCTCTCATGTTTGCTATTATAGCTTATTTGTGGCTCTGCTAACATTGCTTTTATTTGCAGACAGTCGCATATTCTCTGAAGCACTCGCTTTTCAGCATTGCCTTCATTAATAAATATAGGACGAATATCGATCTTGGCAAGTTTATTCTGTTCATAGAAACTGTATATACAAAATATATTTGTATTTTAGTAATGATGACATAAATAATTCAATATACTGTTTTCTTTTACTTCAACATTTTTATCTTAAATATTTAAAAAAATAAAGTAAAAATAAAACATATATATTTTCTTTTTCTTAATATATTTCAAATGAGGTGCATTCAACTAAGCTTCGTGCATAGTAATCGTTTTCTAATGACTTTACTATCAACATACAATCAATGGCAACGATTTACTTAAAACACTATAAATCATATTTTATATGTGTTAAAATATATGGACGATGGATTTGTTTATATAAATATACAAAGAAGTTAATTTAATATTTCAAGTAGACCTAGTTATTCTTAATAATTTTACAACTTATAAAAAAAAAGGAAAATAATTGTCTTATATCAAATCATATAATATTTACATATTCATTAAATATCACAAAAAAAAACTAAGACTAATTAGTTCTTCCTTATATTTCAATTACTTTGTAACTATTATGGATAAGAAATGAGTTAAATAAAATAATAAATGATGAGTTAAAAGAGAAACATTCTAATCTCCTAATAGATACTGCTAATCTTATAAGTAAATATTAAATAATGTTTGGTTCTGCTAAAAAATCATAAACCAATGTATTATTTCAATATGGTAATTTTTATCAGAACCAAATGTTCACATTTAATCAAAGATCACTATTGTATGGTGGCATGCGGGTAGGATGTCGATAAATAATCCGTAACATTCAAATTTTGCGCACATGCTAATCTGTGTGGTACTTGATGATTCCGCCTTTAATATGCTTACAGCATTGAAACACAGCAATTTATTCTCTGTAAATATGGTGGTAACCAGTAGAACGATCAATTAAAAGTTAAATGAATACAATAGAGACGGCAAATGCATGCGGCATCTCTGGTATTCCGATTATGCAGGAAGCATCAATGTTTTGTTTATAGCTTATATCATATAGTTTCGAATATAGGCGACATGTGGATACGGTATCTATCTAATCAATTGTTTGTCTAGATAAGATGCGGTGGTGGTGGAGGAAAACAGGTAAAAAAACAGGTGTTACTCGATTTGAAAATTGGCTACGAGCGTGGGCGAAGGCGCACGATATACAAAGAGGACGCCCCGCCTATGTAAACTTGGGAACTTTGTCCAGTCGCCGTGCACCATTCGTAACAGCAAGTCGTGTACAAGCAGCACAGCATCATCCTGCGCGGAAAAAGTTTTCCCGAAAAGTTAGCAAACTCCAGAACTTTTCCATCCATCCATGAGAACATCCTTCTGAGAGATCATCGAATACGACAAGAGGCAAGATGCGTTCGACGACTTTCCTCCTTTGTTTAGCAACGCTCACCTTCGCAACACTAACAGGTTAGTGAGTTAGTCACACATACTTGACTCTTACCTATGTTCATCTCGCTCCTGCACACGCCGAGACACCGGTGCCGCTGCCTACCTGTGGAAACGAGTTACGTTACTTAAGTTTGGAGTGAAGTTGGTTATAGACTTTCAAATTACTTTAACGTATTTCTCACCGTTCCCCCATTGTTTTTAAGAACCATGTGAAAAAAATCATCTTTTCCACATTTAAACATTCAAAGAAAAAAAATCGTCATTTTTACATAGAAAACCAATTCATGAAAATTGAAATAATTTATAGAAATTAATATTATATTCTTGTTTGGATTTATTTTAAATGGAAGATTCACAAGAAAAAATATTATTTCAACATGGAAAATTGGTCAATTCCTACTAAATTTAATCATTTTATAGCATTAGTGCAATAGGTTCGGTTTTAATAAAAATTTGTAGATTTGGCTTCATTTCCACATATAAAAAATAGAAAAAAATTGTTTCTTACAATAATTTAATTATTTTCAAGCATTAAAATAAATATTTGTAATATTACAATATTTACGATTTACCTTAAAATCTAAAGATTTGACGATGGTAAAAAAAAGATGTTTCCTTGAAATTTTAAAAGTTGTATATAAAAATCATTTCCACTTGTAAAATATAGAAAAATATCGATCGCTATAAAATTGTAATCAATTTCTAGAATTGAATAAATATTTGTATTACTGCAATAGTTTTGGTTTTGAGAGCAATGCAAATATTTTATTTACACCAATGCAATATATTTTCAAATATTAATTAAATTACGTGATTACGATTTTGCAGTAATTGACAATACGACCGGCTCACGTTATTTTATTGCATATTTTTTTTTGTTTGTTACATCAAATATGCGTAGCCCGCAAATATAAAATTTTAATTATTCTCGTTAATTGCGAACGTATTTATACATATTGGATTTTCCGACAATCCATACAATTAAAATATTTTCCCAGGAATATGAATTGTTAAATTTATTAATTCGATTAATAAAAAAAAGTATAATAAAATAGTGACAGTTTTGTGGGAATACATTATTTTCTTGAAAAGTGTCTGTAATAAAGGGTATTATCTTACTAGTAAAAAATAATGCATACAAATATTAATTTGTAAAAAAAAACTAAAATTTCAGTTTTGTATTGTTTTGGAAAAAGTAACTTACATTTAAAATCTGTTTATTAAAAAAATGTTTATTTCCAATAACATTTGAAATAATATGAATAACATGAAATAAAATAAGATTCTATAGTATTCGCTGTTCAGAAATTATTAATAAATTTATTTCTTCATCTGTTGGGAAATATGGTAGATTTTAATATTTCTCAGTACAAAAGTTAATGTTAATAACTTATTTCTTTTAATTAAGTTTTACTGAAATAAACCCTCGTTTAAATGCTCTTAAATATATTGGTAAAAGGTATCCAGTATGAGAGAATTAAATAGTAATTTATAGAATTAAAGAAATTATTAAGAAAGGTAAAAATATATGTTCGTTTCCGGTGATTATAATTTTAGAAAATCGATTAAAGCTTTCTTCGCAAATAGTTTCATTTCTTATTTATTGTTACTTTATTCAATACAATGCTAAAAATCTATAGTTTCAAAACTGTTTCTTTCTATGATGATAAATTAATGATAAGTAAAATTTAACCTTTGTTCAAAATATTTCTTGCATTTTGTATTGGAAATATTTTTTTTAAATGTTTAATAATGATTTTTGTTATTATAATTATTTAATTAATTTTAATACTCAATAGATTTCATCACTTTTGTTCTATTTTATTATTATTGTTTAGAATGAAAATGTTTTATTTTGTCTTTGACTATTGCAATTAAATTAAATACGAATGAATAATAAGAAAATATTTGCAGATAGGAAAAATGAATTTAATGTCTATTTCCTGTGTTTCTCATATTAGAAATTAATTTAAAACAAGTTTATATATTGTTTAAATATTTATATATTTTCATTTAAAGTGAAGCAATTGAATTTCATGAAAAATAATACTCTACATTCTATACCGAAAACCCGTTTCCGTTTCGTTCGTTCCTAGATCAAGCCAGAATCAATATATGTATTTATAGGGTATGACATCTCCCGTTTCGATAGAAGAAAAAAAAGAAGGTCCATTATATGATCCTTTTTTGTCCCTCGCTTTTCAGCTTTCTAAGTGCGAAATTCGAGGAGCAAGATTTTATTTCGCTTATTATTTTTACTGCACTTTCACGCGTTTCAATTTATGGAGTGTCCACTTATATTCCCTTATTTGAAAAGAAAGTATTTTCATTAGATCCACATTTTTTCGCAATAATAATAAATGAAAGTGTAGTTAGTTTTTTGTAACAACATATGCTATTACAATTATATGTTTTAAAGTACATATTAAAATTATAAAAATGAAATTAAAATAACTAGAATATTTTCCTAGTAGTATTTTCATCCAAACTTTAATTTTGACACAATTGCAAACAATGCGATTTTATTTTTAAAAAATACAACATTTTTACTAAATTTAATTATATTATATGTAAGTATTAAAAATAATGTGAGTTTCATTTATTCTACCTAATAATTGTACTTTTCTGTAAGATTAATGAGGCCGGTGATTATTTTCATGTTTCGAGAATAATTGTAATAAATGGTGAAAGAAGTGTGGTACATATGCATATGCACTTGATTTTATTTGCACAAATAGTGTGGAACCAACACACCGCAGAGCATAAGTAATGTTGGTGATAAACATTAAAATTTAGACAGATTGAAATCTGGTTCGCAGTTGATTTATAGTCACATCCATCACTCGGATACGCTCTGTTCGTTGTTCTCGATGGATCATAAGTTTGCAAAACATGTTTTTGTTATACTTCCGAACTTGTATTATTTTTATATATTCCAGTTTTCAACCAATTTTGTCTTACTTTTGTTTTGTGAGAATTACAGAATATACGAAGATGTATTGTTCTGTTGATGAATTCATTAATTTCATTAGTTTAAGAAAAGTGTGAGAATCATGACTATATGGTTTTAATGTTTCAAATTAATTGAATAATTTTATGTGTAATTTCTAAATGAGTTAATGAAAATTCTATATTGTTTTATATAATAAGTTTGGGAGTTTACTTGTTCCACAATGGGTAACATGTGTTCGTGATAATATTTACTTTTTCTGTCGCTTATAAATATTTCATTAAAGCGAATTAAAATGTAAAAAGCACGTTTGAAAATAGCTGCGAGTTGATTAAAACTCCGGGCACATCATATTTCTGTCAAATGGGAATAATTAAGGAAGTTTTCCTCTGGTATAATTTGTTTTTATTGTGAGTTGTCGGAACTTCGCCGAAGATCCAAATGAAATTCAAATAGCCTTAGAATACAAATAAAACGCATCCGAACAAAGATACTTTATATAAAAGCGCATTGAAAATACAACGGAGAAATATTCTTGTTTGTTATTAACGACAGTGAAAATATTTACGTAAGAAACGTTGACGCGGCGCAAAGAATCGAATTCGTATTTAACACTTGCTCTGGAGCGAAAAATATATAAATGAGCGCTGGAAAAATAAACAGATATACGTTTCTTGGCGTTATAATATATACGTTCCTTTTTTTTTGAATACCCCGCATTCATCTCGGTAAACGCGAAGGTTAAATATGTCTGTAACTCGAAACCCGCTGGAAATATTACGTCCATTCCTATCCTCAAATAATAAGAATGCATAAAAAGCACAGTCGTAAATGAAATTCAATATTATTTTGTGTTTCTGCCTAGCCAAAATATAATAAGTTTCGGGTATTTGTTTTTAGTATATGTAATTTTTTGTTTGGATCCTATGTTATGTCTATACATTAAACATCCCATTCGAGTATTCATTTACATAACAGAATCATCAATTTCGTCTCTTTAGAGAAGAAATTTAATAAATGTATTACATTTTTTATTTGTGAAACAAATATTGAAATCAATATTTTTATTAATCAAGATTTATCCTCCGAATTAGTGTTTGTAATTATTTTCTATTGGTTTTAAATAATCAGTCAAATATTTTTGGGATTTTTTTAAAATTTATTTGTCTTAACCCATCGATATACGCTCGACTTTTCGTAGCATAGTTACTCGCGTGGCGTTTGACTGTCAGTATGAAGAAGGTACATTGGTACCTTACCAGTTATTGTGTCTACTGGCAACCGGACTATCCAAGGTATTGCTGTAATTGGTTTATTATGACAAATTTCAAGTAGATTTTTTTAATATTTGATTTAAGATTAAGATTTGAACTTAAATTCTAAACATTTTCATTTACAAAATCATAAAATATTTCCATAATTTAAGATTAATGAAAATATAATTAATATTCAAGGAAGTCATAATACTTATAAATTCCTACAAAATTGATA